TGCTCTCGTGCGCCACCTCTTATATTGCGCCCCCCTTAAAGGCAGGCGGTTTCAGATGCGCAGCAAAACCACTCAGAGTAAATTGCCTATAATCAGGTTTTTGGATTGTTGGAAATATGAGCAAATTACTACGAGATTTAATCCGAATAAACAGAATATAAATCATGACCACAACAGCAGAGATTAAACTAATCATGTGAACTAGCATAGCATATGAACATATCACATCTAGGGAACATACTAGAAACATGAATTCTACCATGATCTCGAACAGGAAGGATAGAATCACATATGGTGCAGCGGGTGCAGCACCGCTGGCATTGATGTTGTCGCCCATGTCGTCGAGGATGAGGTTGCCGAGGTCGGGGAAGAAGTCGTCGTTCACGAAGTCGTCGCTGCCAGCAGTCGTGCGAGTGCGCTCCCCTAAAACCTGATCGCCCCTCTCCCGTACAGGATCACGAGAGGCGGGGTTCCGGAGGCCTGCTGTCCCTTCTCGTGGTGCACGACGGAAGGAGGGATGGAGAAGACTAGCTTGGTGGCGCAATGATCTGGAACGGTGATGAGAAACCATACGAAGCGGCGGCTAGGGTAGACGTCTGCCTGACTATATATTGCGGGCCGGGTAGGTCGTGGGAGTAAACCCCACATCCAAGTCGTCACGATCCAAAAGAATTGGAATGGTTCAGTAATTAATGCGTCCGTTAATTATTAATTAATGACTCATTAATTTTCCCATGCAGCAAAAATATAGACAACGTGCATAGCTCTGTCCTCGGCTCGGCTCAATCCCGCAAGCCGCGGCGCGTCGTGACGAGGCGTGGCGTGGCGAGGCGAGCGAGGAGGAGGAGCGCGCGTGTAGGTCTCCTCTTCTCATGCTCATACAAGTGGTAGAAGAGCTCACCTTATAAAGAGGTGCAACTCTCTCTCAACTTCCAAGGTGGGACTAAACTTTAGCCTCACTCACTCCACTCACATGTGTGCATGAATGGGCCAAGAGAATTTCAGAATTTTAATTGGGCTTTGGGCCAAAGTCCTACTAGCAAAATTCCAACAATCCCCCACAAAGTCTCATTGGCACATCTCATTATTTAGTTCCAAAACATTGTTTTATATATCAGTGCTTAGTGGAGACTGTGAAGTTGAACTTCCACTTAGAAATTTATGCTACACTAGATCATAACTTGAATAGTGGACTATGCCTTGAACTACAAGTTTTCTGTGAAACTAGTTTCACACAAATTCTTGATCGATACTGGGCTGCCGCAAGGCTTCCCCGCGGGTGGAGCGTATACGTCATACTCCAGGGCCTTTCATGAATTTATTAGAGAACACCCAATTCTCACAGACTGCGACGTTGACAGTCAAATTCATATAGGTGTGTTCCTCAGAAGATGTTCTGCAGGACAACATCTCTGCTTACCCGAATAAGCCACTTGGAACACATTAAGATAAGTATCAACCTGCCATGCAGATCAGGAGAGTATTGCATCTTCACGGAGTGGGATAATCAATATAGGGATACTCTCCTCCCAGCTGACCAACAACTTGTCTCCCACTTCTACTTCACGGGATCTCCGATCACATAGAGTGGGTTACCACTATGGACAACTCATGCGGTGGGTCTCAAACCCATCTCCATCAATGCATTATCTATCACATTACGTGATAGACCCTTTGTGAAGGGATCTGCCAAGTTTTTCGACGTTTGGATATAATCCAACATAATAACTCCGGAGTTCCTCAATTTTCTGACAGATTTTAATCTCCTCTTCACATGCCTTGAGGACTTCATATTGTCCTTAGAACTGTTTATCTTGACGATCACAGTTTGATTATCACAGTTCATCAGGATAGGGGGTATTGGTTTTTCAACCATAGGTAAGTCCATCAAGAGTTCACAAAGCCACTCTGCTTCAACAGTGGCAGTGTCTAATGCTGTGAGTTATGCTTCCATAGTTGACCTCGTTAAGATGGTCTGCTTGCAAGACTTCCAGGAAACAGCGCCACCACCAAGTGTAAAAACATAACCACTTGTGGCCTTAATCTCATCAGCATCAGATATCCAGTTTGAGTCACTATAACCCTCCAGTACCCTTGGATACCCGGTGTAGTGAATCCCATAGCTCGCGGTGCCTTTCAAATAGCGCATAACTCTCTCAAGCGCATGCCAATGATCATCTCCCGGTTTTGACACAAACCGACTCAGCTTGCTCACAACAAAAGAGATGTCAGGCCTCGTGGCACTCGCCAAATACATAAGCGAGCCAATAATCTAAGAATACCTCAGTTGATCTCTAGCAATCCGTCGATTCTTTCGAAGCAACACACTAGCATCATATGGAGTTGGAGAAGGCGTGCAGTCGCTATACCCAAAACGACTCAAGACCTTTTCCACATAATGAGACTGAAGCAGTGTGATCCCACCATTCTCATCTCTCAACAGCTTGATGTTTAAGATAACATCAGCTACTCCTAGATCCTTCATCTCAAAACAGCAAAATTCCAACAGGTACGGCCCTGGCTGCTGCGGTGCACGGCGATGCTGGATGGCCGGCCGGACCTGCCGTCTCGTTGTCTGCTCTTCTTCCTCGTGGAGCCGGGTAGTAGTTACTACAAGTAGTTACGTTCGGCGTGGACTTCTTCTCTGCTCCTTCGTATGCTGCGTAAGTTGTATGGAACGATGAACGCTTTGATCTCTCTCAATAAAGAGTAAGTTGCGTTTTTTTTGGTTTTTTGCTTGCACACGAGTTACAAGTTTGTAAGCCTTGCATAAAGCATTGAATTTCTACTTCGACTTTGGGATTTTACTTTTGGTGCATGTTGTTCATACTACTGACGAGCGTAAGGGAATTTCTGATTGGTCTTAACCGACGGCCTGTCAGTGGTACCAACACCACTCAAGGGTTGGCTTGGACCTTGTGGACAACGCACAACATGATGGTTATTGAGTGTGTTTTTTACGGCGGGCATCCTCCATATTCAAATTTCTCGCCTTTTTTCAAGCATTGGCATCCGCTATCTAGGCAGCGGTACCGTACCTGCTTGGCAACATAAGGAACGCAATAATTGTAGCTGACTTGTCTTGCCTAGACAATCTGACCTTTCTGACCACTTGGTGGCCTTTTTTCTTTTTTATTTGGGCTTGTTTGTGTCAGTTGTCTCAACATACTTCTTATGTACTTTGCTGCACTTGAACTTGTTGTATGGGCACAATGGTTGCTTTATCTATTAAAGCAAGACGAAAGCATGTTTCGAGAAGTTAGACGCGCCGAGGATGAATTTCACAAATTTGATGGAAACATATCACTTAGAGGGTGGTGATCAAAAGGATCTCATCGCGATGGTTTGGCTCAGGTTCAAATCCCGGATGGACGATAGCCATATGTCAAAAATGATATCACAACCCACCATCACCACACACAATCCATGTCGTTTTTCCCGTCATCACCGATGATGGCCATTCTCCCAGGCAACATGTCTAAACGTGGTCAATCCCAAAGGAATGAGCCTAGCCTCCACACTTTGATTCAGGTGCACCGGCCTAAGGAAATGCTTAAAATTTAGAAAACTAACCTCATCTAGCTAGACATGAGGGCCGCCGTACGCAAATTACTCCATGAAATCATCCAGTGAAATACATCCATCTGTCCACCGAATGTAAAATGCAAGAAACTCACACTCAAATATTAATGTCGGCCATAGAAGCTTCCAGTTTGCACATACATGCATGATTGCAGGACAAATCATCGTGATAGGTGTTAAGGCTTTCGTGCTTTTTATTCAAGCAACTCCAGTTCGACTCAGACAATACACGCATGTACACGTCCTTCAGTAACCTTGTGTACATGCGCGTATTCTTTATCCTTTGGATGCTTATCCACGATTTCCATCTCGACGAACATTCCGATGACGCCATTATATGAAAGCACTCTACGGATGGTTCATACTTGGCGTTGTCCGCGTACAAGGCGCAGTTCCTTGGTTTGACACTCTCCCCTAATGGACTTTATGGTCTAGAAGGTGTGGGCGCCCCGAAAGTCAAATTTTTCGCTTGGTTGGACTTGTAAGATCGGATTTGGACCGCTGACCGGCTTGAGCGGCGTGGTTGGGCTAATTGTGGCCTTTGCCCCATGTGCAAACAAGAGCAGAAGACCGGCATCCATCTCTTCGTCAAATGCCATTTCACTACTAGACTTTGGTGATTGATCATTGATAAGTATGGTCTTGTATACATGGACATTAGTGGCTGGCACCTTACGGAGTCTCTGTTCAAGTGGTGGGACAGACGAACCAACTCAAGCAATCTTGATTGACGTGCCATGGCCTTTTTTTACCATGCTTGTGTCGTGGATAATTTGGAATGAGAGAAACTTTAGGGTGTTCCGCCACAAAAATGCACCGCCGCCAATCCTACTAAAGCTTATAGTGGATGAGGCCAAGCTTTGGGTTTCGGCAAGGGCTAAGAAATTAGGGAGAATTGTACTTCCTCCGTTTTTTTACTCCGCATATAAGATTTGATCAAAGTCAAACTTTGTAGAGTTTGACTAACTTTATATTAAAAAATATAAACATTCACAATATGAAATCAATATTATCAGATACAACATTAAACGTATTTTCATAATATATAGTTTTAGTATTGTAGATGTTCATATATTTTTATATAAATTTGGTCAAACTTTGTGTAGTTTGACTTTAACCAAATCTTATCTGCAAAATAAAAAGAAACGGAGGGAGTATTAAGCGAGGAATTGTCATGCCGCTCGCTCGGTCTTTTATAACACTATGTAACTCTACTCTCCTCTTATTTAATCATTGAGACAATTTTTTTGCCTTCATTTTGAAAAAAAGTTATTGAAGGTGGTTACTACGAATTTTCATAAATTACAGCAGTACATTCAGCTACAAATTGAATCATTGCACATAAATTTCCTACGAATTTTCATACAGAACTTGATTCCTTGACAATTCATCCGAAAATCGGTAAATCCAAAGACAGTCTACGAGTCGTCGCTGAACATATCATAACTGTGAGGCCGTACAGAATACCATGGGCAAGGTAGCGACTCCGACGTTGGTCCATCATCCGCCGTCACCTTGCAGCGCATCACCTTGTCGCGGGTGTTGTCGCCGAAGTAGCCCCACCGCAGGCGTTCTCCGGCGTCTCTGTATACCGCCACGTCGACGTCGAGCTCCACCCGCCCCGAGCGGCGCCACTCCGACGCCATGCGCTCCCGGAGAGGCCCCGAGAGCCCCACGCCGTCGGCCCTGGCCACCACCTTCACGCCCCTTCCCCAGGGCTCCCGGGAGACGCAGCCGCGCGGCTCCACGCGCGCCCAGCCGAGCGCGACGCCGGAGTAGGTCAGGAACACCTCAGCGCGGTCGGCGCACGTCTTGTTCATGCGCAGCGTGAGATTGAACGCCGGCGAGACCACGCGGCTGGGCCTGGCCGGGTCGATGCCCTCGTAGCCGGCGAGGCCGACGGAGAAAGACGCCACGTTGGCGCCCTCCATGTAGTACATGGGGCCCAACATGAGCGCTGTCACTCCAACCGAAAGTAGCACCAAGATTAGAAAGGTGGGTCCGTCCATGTGGCTGGACCTCGCCGCCGGCGCGTTGCCCAGGACTGGCGGCGCCTCGTCGTCGCGCGGGTCGGCGGGAATGGCATGGTAGGCCGCCTGCTCCAAGTCGACGGCCATGCTTCGATCTTGGACTACTACTTTGCTGTCTTCAAGCTTCTTCTAGTAGGAGTATTTGTTGGGGATGCCGCTAACAGCATCACGGATATATCGTCCAGGAGTCTTGAGGGAGGCAGTTCGTTTGGAGTTGGCTCCGTCCGTATCCAGCGATAGGATATCTGGATCTCAACCGAACTTCCTCACGTGTAGGGATCGAGATCCTCATCTGTTAGGAACGGCCTGTACCTTAATTGTCCTCGCCTCATACGTGTATTCTCTGGAGGATAAACGGCTGCATCCATCTACTCAGAGCTATCATCTGGTAGTTCCAAACCTCGGCCCCAACTATTGCTCGGCGGCCTAGTCAGCTCGGGGCTAGCATCCATCCATGGAAGAACGTAAAACTTTCGCACAGAGCCATCCTGTGCTCGCGGCGCTACTGCTCGGATCCGTTGTGCTCGGTACGATCCTCATGACCGTCCTCGCCATCACGCTCGAGTCCACCCCACCCGAGTTCTCCGCGACCGTCTCCAGCTTCGAGGGCCTCGACCGGCGCGCCGGCGCGCCGCCCACCTTCCGCATCCACCTCCGCGTCAAGAACAGCAACGTGTGGCGGCACTGCTTCGAGCCGGCGGGCGCGGTGGTGGAGTACGATGGCGTGCCCCTCGCCAGCGCCGATCTCGGCGAGCTCTGCGTCCCGGCACGGAGCGTCGTGGACGTGCCCTTCGTGGCCACCGGCGAGGGGCTGGGGATGCCCGACCAGCTCTACGAGCGCCTCGACGGCCTCCGCCGGCGGCAGGAGCGCGTGCCGTTGGCGGTGCGGCTGACGCTGGAGGAGAAGGATACCGTAACGCAGGTATGGCCCTTGCTGCTGCGGTGCACGGCGATGCTGGATGGGCGGCCAGACCTGCCGTCTCGCTGTCTGCTCTTCTTCCTCGTGGAGCCGGGTAGTATGAGCGAAAACTGACTCGATCGTAAAGCTGGGCTCGCGGTGGCTCCCGCATATGCTGTGTGATTACTGCTTACCATGAAACGATGAACTCATATATCTGTCTCAATAAATAGTCGATTTATTTATAGAGTGGGGCGCGATCCTTTTATAGCATAAATAGTCCCTTTTTTCATTGCACACTACACACGAGTTACTGTTTCGTAAGCCTTTGCAGAAAGCATTTGAATTTCTTCTTTGACTTTAGAATTTTATTACTCGCGGTGCAATATTTTTCATATACTCATAAGTGACGTTAGGCCTTGTTCGTTCAATCCAAATGGTAAGTGTCACACATGAGGTGTGCGATATTCTAGCCTTGACGTTTTTCGATGGCAATTTCAGTCATGCAAGGATGACAATTTCAAGTGACGCACGGTAAGTTTTTGTAAAGAATAAACGAAGCACGAAAGTTACCATACTTGGTAACTAAAGTTGCCATCAATTTTTTTCCGGAGTTTTCATGTGCTCGTGCCACACATCAGGTACTTATCAGGGTCCAAAATCCCACCCCCGCCGGTATTAGGTCAAAACTTGGCCGATCCGTGTGGATTTAGCCCCAGCCAAGGTCGGATCCCTCCGGAAAGAAGGATGCGCCTTCGGTTGGACCTGGTCGGGTTATAGCCCTTCCAAATCCACCCGAAACCACCAGGTTTCCGCCGGGATTTGACCCACATTGGCCCCACGCGTGGAACAAAACTGCTAGTGCTCAAAGGAAAAAGGAGAAGGGGACGGCGAGAGTGGTGGCGGTGGGAATGACTGGACGGACGAGTAGGGAAGGGAGCGGCCGAACGCTCTCCGCAACCAATGACCGGCTGCTTCCCTAGCCAGCTCCCTCGTCTCTCATTCCGCAGAAGATCTGCCATGGTGACCCTCTTCTTTCCTTCCCCGACGCGACCTCGGCGGCGACAACAGCCTACTCCAGTGTCCCTCCTCATCGTTTCTCTCCGGTGAGATTTTCTGGCCCATCCTTCTTTTCCTTCCTTTACCCCCTTTAATTTTTAGGGTTCCGTTGCCTCTGCGTACATTGGTTCTAGGGTTCAGGAGTTTTTGATCTAATGTTGATAATGCATTCAACACTTGTTACCTTAACTTAGTCTAGATTTTTTGTGTTAATTTTTCCTTGTGTGTGCACCCTATGGTAAAATCCACAAACCGATCCTCTAGTTCAAAGAAAGTCACGGCTTCCTATGCCTAGATTCTACACTGATTATATTACACAAACGTTATTTGATACCAATTAGATTTATTAGTTCAACTCTCCTCTAATAGCCCAATGTTTATGTTAGGCCTAAATCCCCGATTTTTTCTACTGATGATCAACTCAAATCCCACAGACACGTTCCATGTTTGTTCTCTCTTAGAACTAGCATGTCTGAAACAAAACACTAGAATGTAGGGAATTTCCGATCCGAGTGCTTGAAGCACAATACACAAATGTTGGAAGCATAGTTGATTGGTGTACAACAAAAACTTTATTCGTTTGCTTAGGAAGCATGAAGCGCTATTTGTCAAAATCTTGTTTGTTATGAAACAAAAAATGTGGCCAGCTATGTAAGAAGCATGAGTGTTTTCTACGGAAGCTTTATCAGGAAGCATGATACATTATTATTAGAAGCATGATTAGTGTGTAAGAGACTTTTTTCAGCTGTGTGGAAAGCATGGAGCTTTATGAAATTTGCAATATTTAGTTTTGTGCATATACGGAGCCAAAAATAGAGCAATGTTGGATACAATGAGAGGAGTGGCAACATATTACATGTGTTGTATGTACAAATTACATTTGTTTTAAACAAAATAAAAATATGCTTCAAAATAAGTGAAATTCTTTTCCAACATTAGTTGCAAATCTCCACTGTAGTCTAAATCTGATTCATGCATTTTTTCCATCTAACTGGCATGACCGCTCTATGAAGAGATTGACCACCATTAATTAGGAGCACGACCATCGAGCGGCGACAAAAATCACAAGGATATCAGAACATATGAGCTACCCTGAGTAGGGGAACGCGACACCATAGAATAGGTCTGCACGTAAGAGGTCAGAGCGGCGACCGCGAGGAGGAAGGAATAGCTATGACGCCAATGAAGACCATGGGCACAACACGCTCCTACAGAGGTGTGCATCGATGATAACGTCCAGTGGCATGCCGTCTTCGACAGAGGCAAAGGCAACATTGGTGGATCCACCCGGGGAGAGTTGAGGACATCGACGGTGGAGACACCGATTCTAGGCCTGGGCGTTCGGTTCAGTTTCTACTGTTCATTTTTGGAAATTTGGGTAGGGAAATGAAACCCATATATAGAATCAGCTAACCAAAATTTTTTGGTTAACCAATTATTCTATTTGGTTTTCTATTTAAACCGAATATGGGATCAGAAGTACAAAACACACAGTTTCAATGCAACTTGCACAAATTTTAAAGGAAAATTGACACACAAGACGCCACCGAGCCGCTGAGATGGACTGATGGTTGCCTCCTCGTCGAAGTGGAGAGTTGGGACACTGTCGATTGTCCAAGCTCAAAGATGGGTGGACTAGACGGACGGGCAGGCGACAGCCGTCGTGGCCATGCGGGTGATGACCCACAAGTATAGGGGATCAATTGTAGCTCTTTTCGATAAGTAAGAGTGTCGAACCCAACGAGGATCAGAAGGAAATGACAAGTGGTTTTCAATAAGGTAATCTCTGCAAGTGCTAAAATTGTAAGTAGCAGAGTAGTTTGATAGCAAGGTAATTTGTAACGAGCAAGTAACGATAGTAGTAACAAAAGTGCAGCAAGGTAGCCCAATACTTTTGAGGCAAAGGACAAGCCAAAACGTTCTCTTATGATAAGCAAAGTGTTCTTGAGGGTACACGGGAATTTCATCTAGTCACTTTCACCATGTTGGTTCGATTTGTGTTCGATACTTTGATAATTTAATATGTGGGTGGACTGGTGCTTAGGTGCTATTCTTACTTGAACAAACCTGCTACTTATGATTAACCCTCCCGCAAACATCCGCGACTATGAGAAAAGTATTAAGAATAAATTCTAACCATAGCATTTAACTTTTGGATCCGATCGGTCCCTTATGGAATAGTGCATAAACTGGGGTTTAAGCTTCGGTCACTCTCGCAACTCATCATCTAATTGCTACTCCACAATGCATTCACTTAGGCCCAAATATGGTGAAGTGTCATGTAGTCGACGTTCACATGACACGACTAAGGGAATCACAACATACATATTATCAAAATATCAAACACATATCAAGTTCACATGATTACTTGCAACATGATTTCTCCCGTGACCTCAAGAACAAAGTAACTACTCACAAACGATAATCATGATCAAGATCATAGGGGTATTAAATAGCATATTGGATCTGAACATATAATCTTCCACCAAATAAACCATATAGTCAACTACAAGATGTAATCAACACTACTAGTCACCCACAAGCACCAATCTATAGTTCTGGTAACAAGATTGAACACAAGAGATGAACTAGGGTTTGAGATGAGATGGTGTTGTTGAAGATGTTGATGGAGATTTCCCTCCCCAAGATGGGAGAGTTGTTGGTGATGATGATGACGATGATTTTCCCCTTCGGGAGAGAAGTTCCCCTGGCGGAATCACTCCGCCGGAGGGCAAAAGTGCTCCTGCCCAAGTTTCGCCTCGAGATGGCGGTGCTCCGTCCCGAAAGTCATCCCCTTATTTTTTTTCTAGGTCAAAATGACTTATATACCAGAAGATGGGCACCGGAGGTGGGCCTGGGTGAGCACAACCCACCAGGGCGCGTCTAGGCTCCCTGGCGCGCCTAGGTGGGTTGTGCCCAACTGGTGGGCCCCCTCTGGTGGTTATTTGCTCCAATATTCATCATATAATTGATAAAAGATCTCTGTGAAGTTTCAGCTTGTTTGAAGATGTGCAGAATAGGTGGCCTGTCGTAGCTTTTCCAGGTCCAGATTTCCAGCTGCCGAAATTCTCTCTCTCTTTGTGTACACCTTGCATATTATGAGAGAAAAGGCATTAGAATTACTCCAAAA